AAACAGTATCACGCAGACATGCCCCCGATTAGCCCGCGGGAATTACACGGGGGAATCATAATATGCGTGGCTAAGAGGCGCTAATAGCTCGTGGGACTCACAAACACACGTGAGCTATTTTGAGGACTTAAATAACACGTTGGCGGGGCCCAAGAGGGCCTCCATTGAGGACGAGTCAGAGCACAGTAGCTGCCACTGAAGCTCTGCTGTGTTCCAAATTACCGCTCAATGAATGCGTCTCTGCTGGCGCTTTAAGATGTGACAGGCTTGCGGTTCGCGTGAAGCGCCGCTGGAGCACTTTGTCAATATCCTTCAGATCCATCTTCAGGTCCGCGAGGTCTTTGTCCCTCACTACCAAGACCATTTGTAACACGAGCAGAATGATAAAGCTGCACTCGGAGAAAAACTCTGAACAGAGACGTCAATTTTTATGACTCAAGTTAAATGTTTTTCTTTTCGTTCAAGTTGTGTGCTCAATTGCCTTACGAATAAGGACAAAGATTGGAAACTAGTACAGGGCCCTTAAGCTGGATATCAAATGCTATCCTTGATCTAACCTTTGGAAAATCATTTGAGCATTGATTTGGATTCACCGATATCCATCTTAAATACCCCGTAAAAGGAAAATAAATGTCAAACCGTGGGGACGCGTGTTCACAACTCTGCCAAATTCGAATAATTAATAAAAATGGCCAAGTGTATAAAGTGAGGCTACAAAAAATCAGCGTTCTCAAACGCTGTGGGCGTGTCTGCTGAATTCACCGAAGCCACGCCTTGTTGAATTTCTCAACTCTCAATCAAATAACAATTGTGCGACCTGGAAAAACAATGCTACTTTGTTCAGCATCATGCTTGAACGACAAAAATAGATCGGCTGAAAGCCTCTGGCACCTTCAATATATACCACCCGGTCAGCGGGCTTTTCCACGCTGTGACAACGAGGCGCTCTAAGGTGATCACACCAGCACCAAGCTCCTGTCCTGTTGACTTTTCATACCCAAAGCTAACAACAAAGCGCTTTAACAGCATCCACGCCAGCAGACTAACCGAAGGCAAGATACATTTGCAGGGTTGCCGGTTGCAAATACGCCATTTCGCAGCTAACCTGTATGTAGGCCATCAAGTTCTTATGACCCCAAGTGCGTCGGTGGGTCTCATTTTAGCTAAGGCCAAGCAAAAAAAAGAAAAATTAAACATCAAAATAGGTTTTCATACATGAGCTCTACGGCGGCATTTCAGCAACAGACGCTGTCTCATTTGAGTTTTCCACCTTTATGTATTTGCAAAGTTTTTCTTTTTTGATCCTGTTGACCAAGGAGCGTCCATGCGATGATCACTGCCCCACGACTTTAATTATCTATTTGCAATTACATTTTTAACAGGGCCTTTATATGCTCACCAGACAGGGCCTGGCGCTCGAGGGGCTGCCACACGAGTTGAGGACTTTTCTGCCGCCTCCGCCAAGCCAAAAAATGTATTTTGGGCAATTAAATACAAACGCAAGGCCAAGACAAATCTTCATGGTGATGGGAATATTTCGCTCGCGTCGTCTTTCTAGCGGGAATGCGGCGGCAGTCCAAATTAAAAGTGTCCGTGACGGCAGCAATGTGGCGCTAGGGCAAACAAAACAAAGATTCTTGCAACTTGCGTTCTGGGCAAAAAAAAAAAAAAATTAAAAAGAAGAAGAAACTGACGCCACCACACACACGCACAGACACACATACACACACACACACAGACACACAGACACGCATACACACACACACACACACACACACACACACACACACACACACACACACA